ACCTCCTTCCTGCTTAAGGCGATGGAGAAGGTGATCGACCATGAAATCAGGAACAGCACCCTTAAACAGGTGCCTTTACACCCCGACCAACATGCCTACAGAGTGGGCAGGTCTACGGACACCGCACTGTACACCCTATCTACGGAAGTACTAGATGCATTTGAGTGTGGGGAAACAGTACTCTGTGCCTTCATCGACATTGAGGGGGCGTTTGATAACACCTCTCATATCAGTGTCGACCGGGCACTCGAAAAACGCAATGTGCAGGCAACGATCCGCAGGTGGATAGCCTGGCTACTAAATTCAAGAATCGCTGAAACCGATATCGGGGACAGCGTGGTACAGTTAAAAACTACGAAAGGTTGCCCGCAGGGAGGAGTCTTATCCCCTCTCCTGTGGAGCCTAGTTGTGGACGAACTTCTACGGATTCTCACGGACAATGGCATCCGCTGCCAAGGCTATGCGGATGACATCGTGATTATCGCCAGAGGAAAGTTCGTGAGCACTCTATGTGACATAGTGCAAAGGGGACTAAACCTGGCAAGAGGCTGGTGCGCGGACATGGGCCTCAGCATCAACCCCTCTAAAACGGTTATTGTCCCTTTCACTAGAAGAAGAACGCTTCCAGGCATGAGGAACATTTCTTTGAATGGGGTCGCCATCAACGTCGCCACCGAAGTCAAATATCTAGGACTAACCCTGGATTCTAAACTTCTGTGGAAGGCACATGTTGACGCGGTCACTTCCAAAGCTACGAGGGCACTAATGGTATGCAAACGCCTGGCAGGAAAGACCTGGGGCTGCAGTCCCAGGATTCTGAGATGGATGTATACCATGATAGTTAGACCAATAGTCACCTATGGAGCAGTGGCTTGGGCCTCGAGAACCACCCTCACCACGGTGAGGCAATCCCTCACCAAGCTTCAACGTCTGGCATGTGTATGCATCACGGGGGCAATGCGCACATGTCCGACGGCAGCGCTGGAGGTGATTCTCGAGCTCGAGCCGCTGTACCTTACCATAGAACAGGCTGCAAAGCGAACTCTACTAAATTTCGCGAGGGAAGGCTTTGGCAGGGGCAGAACTATATCATTAAGGAACAGAGACAAGCTAGGCTCCCAAGTTCCGCTAGCTTTACTCCCCAGAGACGACAGGCCTAAGATGGTTAACTTTGACAGGAATTTCAAAATAGAGCTTTGCACCAAGGCGACCTGGAGCTCCTCTCTCATGGAGAGGCTGATCCAATCGAGCTCGTTGCAATGGTACACAGACGGCTCGAAGACTCCGGAAGGCATTGGGGCTGGCGTCTACGGGCCGAGGCTGCAGCTCTCGGTACCTATGGGGGGGTACCCGAGTATCTTCCAGGCGGAGGTCTATGCCATCAGTCTGTGTGCAGAGATTAACCTACGGAGGAATTACCGTAATGAGAGAATCTTAATATTGAGCGACAGCCAGGCGGCACTCAAGGCCCTCTCAGCATTTGAGGTCAAGTCATCCTTGGTTCTTGAGTGCATAGATAGGCTCAACAGCCTGGCAGTGCACAACAAAATCCAATTAACTTGGGTACCAGGACACATAGGAGTTGCGGGCAACGAAGAAGCGGACCGACTAGCTAGACTGGCGGCCGCCTCGTCGCCTATAGGGCCTGAGCCCTTCCTAGCGATTGGACCCAGTACAATCAAGGAAGAGCTCAGGAAAGAAAGGAACACACAAAGGAATCAACACTGGCGCAACACTACAGGCTTACGTCAAGCAAAACAACTACTGGGAGGCTACAACCTCACGAGGTACAGGGCAGTTATTAATCTATCCAAGGGAAAACTAAGGATCATAACAGGTTTTCTGACGGGTCACTGCAGACTGAGAGGCCATCTGCACAAGCTAGGGATTTGGTCCAACGACCTATGTCGTTTCTGCGACGTGACCGAGGAGACTCCCGTGCACCTGCTTAGCGAATGCGTGGCGGTCGCGAGAAGACGGGAGAGGTACCTGGGCCACTACTGGCCAAGTAACGAAGCAATACAATCGCTAATCCCTGGGGATCTCCTCAAATTTTTGGGCTCTCTAGGATTAGATGAGGTACTGTAAATGGTTGAGGGCACAATAGACCTGCTGGTCGCAGTGCATGCCTCCATTAATTATCTATCTATCTATCTAACGGCAGCTTCACCGCTATGGTGGCGAGTTTTCGTTAACACACGAATCCCATAAGGTAGATCATGTCTACGTCAACCCTGCAAAAATCATTGGACCATGTAGTCTATTTGTGGTATATTGGAGTACTTACAAAAGTGTTCCTCTGTCATGCTGTAGCGGAGCAACACGTGTCTCTGCGCCAGCTTATTGTTTGTTACCCGATCACTGCTCGTGTTTTAACGAAATGTGATTGAAGTGGAGCATTTGAAAGCACATTTGCATGTCTGGCTGTAGCTGAACGTGTAGAGATGCTCGCTGTTATTTCTTAGCTCCCAGCATATTCGGGTTCGAATGCCGTCAGAGGCAACATGTAATTTTTAATTTTTGTCTTGGTTTTTATTAATTTCGAAAAAGCATTTGAGAAGTGAAGAACAAAAGCGTGTACAAACGAAAAAATATAACAACAATGCCACTGTTAATATGTTGGAGTAGTTTTGTGCTACTCTGATGTAATGCAGGGATGGAGTATATGGTCCTGTCCTAGGACATCGCAATGTTAATTGGACCATATTTTTTATATGAATTGTGGTTAATTTTGGAGTACTCCATGGCCCTTAGGGAGTACTCTCTACATGCATGAATGGAGTAGTCGCGATTTTTGCAGGGAACCTACGTTTACGTTACGTCGTTGACTATTTGCGCTTTTAGCCTACATTTTATTCATAAATAAAACATAATTATGTATATTTTATCCACGAAAAGAACTTTTTCTGACCATAAGGCGAAATTCCCCACAGTAAGTGTTGCCGTGCGTACAAAACGAAAACGCTGCACACAACCCAAAAGTACTCCTCGGGGACCAAACACATTAGCCCTGTTCGCGTACGCAATATGCAGTAAATCCAGTACTAATTTTTAGTCTGTTCCAATAGCAGTCCGGTTTACAGGATTTAGTCAGAACTTACAGGAAGTCGTTCCTATTGACATAAAACCTGTAAGTGGGAACACATTTGAGAGAGTAACTGAGCAACTGTTCCTAGTCAGAAGTTACAGGATTTAGTCCGGAGATTTTTTTCCTGTAAGTTCATGAAAAGTGTCAAACCATCAGCTGATTTACATGTGCAAACAAAAACAGGAAGCGGTGAAAGCAAAGAACCTTATATTTGTTATAAAATGGAAGTAAACAACGAAATATTTAAATATGTATAGATTTTATTAATTATTTAGTGATATTTCAGCCAAATCAGTGTAGTGCCAATGACATGTAAACAAGCCGTCTGACGTTTTTACAGGAAATAGTGCTTTTTGCATTCCTATGCACTTCTGCATCTGTTCTCCTTTTACTCTCATTTGAGAGCGTAAAATTGTAGTTTGACAGTTCCACAGGTTTTAGTCCGAAGTTCAAAGGAACAGACTATTTACTGGTTTTTTACTGGATGTCGTTTTCGTACGCAAAACCTGGCAAGAAACTAGCAAAAGAGGGGAAATTGAGAGAGCAAAAATGACAGCTGAACTTGCAAGTTTTACTGGATTTTTATTGGATAAATTTTTACTAGCAACTATTTGCAAGTAAGAAAAACGCTGACGGCATGATGCTTATTGTAATTCACATTAACAAAATAATTGTTTGTGGTGCTTTTAGAGTTGCAATTGACAAAATAAACCCATTTAAATATATAATAAGATGGAAAATACTAGTTTTCTAAGAAAACTGCATCGGAAAATAACAAATTAATCAGCTGTTCATAAAACTAGCAACTTCTTGCTGGTTTTGCGTTTTCGTACTTTCTTGCATATTTCACTCATTGGGAGTAAATATTCGCTTACTCTCCGAAATTTCTTTACTGGCAAGTTACTGGATATTTTTTGCTTGAGAATACGAAAACACAACTATTATGGACACAGCTGACCAGTTGTCATTTGATAAATCTTAAATTTTTTACAAAATGTAGTAGGTTACGTTTTCAACGCTATTAGCGATGAAAAAAATTGAACCTGTCGTTAATTTGATTCGCCTTGGACAGCACAATTATAATTCTGGATTGAGGATACAAAAACAATTGAGTACTCAAAATGCTGAAGATTGGGCAAACTTTCGTAATTATCTTATTCTGCAGCAACACAATCCTGTTTATACTATAGGAATACGAACAAAGAATTACACCGAAGAAGATGAACGACGTTTACGCAAGCTGGGAGCTGAATTCTATCGTACAAATCGTGGCGGTTTAATCACATTTCATGGACCCGGTCAGTTGGTCGCATATCCTATAATTCACTTGCGTCAATTCCAACCAAAAATGCGGTGGTATGTTGCAACACTGGAGCAGACTGTTATTGCAACTTGTAGAAACATGGGCGTTTTGCAGGCAACTGCGACATCAGATACCGGCATATGGGTGGGGAATAACAAGATTTGTGCTATAGGCGTACATGGCTCCCGATATGTTACCACTCATGGTATTGGCCTTAATTGTTGTACAGATTTGCATTGGTTCGACCATATTGTGCCTTGTGGTATTGAAGGAAAGGGAGTAACTTCATTGAGTCGGGAACTGAAACGCCATGTAGGCGTAGAGGAAGCCACAAATGTATTTGTTAAGTGTTTCTCTGAACATTTCGGATGCCAAATAAATTGTAAACCTTAAATCGGTTGTTTTCTTCTCACACAACTTTTATATCTTAATCAAAAATAAAGTGACCCAAAAATTTCATGCTTATATATGTACATATTAGGCCGTGAGAGCAGAAGTGGGCTAACCCAAAATAATTTTTTTGTACTTACCTATTTAAAATAGTCTCAAATGTGTTACATTTCAAAATAACAGTCGATCATTCCTTAATTTTAAGGTACAAAGTCTATCTTCAATTAAGGATTATGCGAATTTATTTTAAAATTTATTTGAAACTTCTTTACAAACTTAAGTATAAAACAAGAAATTGTGAGTTACGCTACTTCTGCTCTAATGGCCTTATATGTACCTAATCGGCACAATATAAGAAATTGTACAAAAAATTAATTGTAATGTACTACGTAAAACGTGATTTATTTAAATTTATTTTCAACTCTTTGCTGTCAATCACAGCTTTACCTCTTTTAAGGGCCTCAATGCGACCGAGTTCACGTTGCTCTGCTTTGCGTAAGCGTCTTTCGGTGCGAGATTCCAGACCATTGTTGAAATACCTGTCCCGAAAATCGAGTGAGATCGGAAAGGTACATGCAGGCTGCGCAACCTCCTTTGTATAAAGCACATCAAGTTTTTCATATGTGAGTAACCGACGAGATGTAAGTCCTGAAAGAGGTTGTTCCGAATTGGCTATCAGCATAAGAGACCCATGTTGTGGAATCATGTCATGGTTATAGTCTTCCCTATAAAAATTGGGATGATGTTCAAATATTTATATATTTTTGGTACCTGTTGATACAAACCGATGGTACGGCAGCCAACACACCAAACGACCGCCTACTTTCAAATGTTGTGCAGAAAAATTAAGAAGATCATGATAAAGGTGTTTTAAGGCATAATGAGAAGTAGACGGATAATGAGGCATATCTTTAATTCTGGTATTTTGCTTTGATGTCTTCTTTGTCTCTACTTTTTCAGTGGCTTCACGAATACCATATGGTGCTTGATAAGTGCATATGTAAATATAATAAATAAGACAAAATAATGACTTTGAAATGTTATAACTTTAAAGTTATAAAACAGGTAGTATATATGTAAATGCAGGGTAATACAGCAAAATCTTACTAGTTAATTTACCAAGCCAAGACATCAAATAAATTGAAAATTTTGTATATTCATATGTGTGGGTACATATGTATATGTATTTGACTTACGATCTGTTATAATGGCGTCGAGTTTTATATCTTCGCGCCAGAGGGGCTTAGAAAAATCCGATATAATTACATCGAGGTATCGATCCCCACAACCGTATTGTTCAAGATTAGAGCGAACTCTCTCATCCTTTTCCCGCACTTTCTGTGTTATACGGCTTGGCCGTGAACGTCCATGGAGCATCATAAAATCAATATCAGTACCAAGTACATAACCTATGAAATGAATCATAAATGGAGCCTGCTAATATTATTTATGTACTAAGTCTACCTACCCCCAAAAATTGCGGCACTCACCAATAAGGATCCAGTACCTACAAACGGATCTAAAACTAAATCATAGTCTTTAACCAGTGCTTGATTTGCCATTAGAAGACTTAGTTGTGCATCCATACTAGTATTGCCGATAAATTTACGTTTTTTCAATGAAAGCTCTTTAATGAGTTCTCGCTGGCCATTGGCAATCTTCAGAGAAGAATAAATAAATAAATATAATTATAAGTTAATCTTAAAGTCGATAGTTACTTACTAAACGTCCAAACAGTACATCCTCTGGTTCTGACGACACTGCTGATGGGTCGAGCCCATAAAACTCAATATAACACCATTCGTTTTGAGGAGCTTTTAGGTCCACAGCGCCATGTAGTGGCATGTAATCCAAGGTCTCTATTTTTTCTACTTTTTCTTTTTGCGAAATATGTTTATTGTAGGTCTCAACAACAATCTTAAATGTACTTGTGGTATATGGTTCAACTAGATCTTCGTTATTTGCAATGAAATTTCCTAATTTTTCATGGAAACTACCCAGGTGTTTAGAATGAGACCACAACTCATAGACACTTCGCAGGCTCACAGAACGGGATGCTAATTTCATAACCTCTTCATCATTAGGAAACTCAACTATCCAAAACGGTTTCTTCAAAACAAATTATGAATGGGGTATTGGTAACCATTACAATATTTGTTACATACCATTAAATTTATGTCCAATTTTTTATGTTTCAAGCCAAATAGCTTAAGAATGGAGTTAAATTCCTATAGGAATATAAAAGTAATTACATGTACATATGTATTTACGAATATTTGCTAAAGCTTGAATCAAGTATCTATACGTACTGCAACACGAAAATCTAAATGCTCTTGTGCAAACCACAATATATATTTTTTCCACCTATTCGTCATTGTGAAACGTTAAAAATTGTTTGTTTCCAAATTAATTAGCGATGGTAATCATTAGTGCAGTTATCTGTAAGAAGACATAGCACGCGGGAACCAAGTTGTTTATTAGCCGCCTACTGCATGACAAAAAATGTTAAGGCGGTAAGAATAAAATTTCCTATTTCTTATATTTTTTACTGACTTGCTGGCTAAATTTTAATTTTGTAGTTATTGGATCTACAAAATTATCGATAGTATCAAATTTTTTTATTTTTCGCTACTATCGATTGTTTTTTTAGTATTATCGGAACAAATGCAGTTTGGCTCTAACCGGCCGTCTTCACGTGCTGGGAAATCTCACTTGCGTGACGACACATGCGAGAAGCCGCACGTGTAGACCGCAAAAAGTACGAAGCATGCTTTTTCTCGCATACCGAGCAGTATGCGGGCTCTCGTTTGCTTTCAACTGTCATTTTTGTTGTTTGACAGCTATGTTCTCATTTCGCAGAATTTTTCAGGCTAGCAACATCGTTTATTTTGGAGGCAAATACAATTTTAGAGGCAGCCATTTTTCATTTGAAAATATGTAGTATACATCTCTTTATGCAGATTTTCTAATTTTCTCAAACTTTTAAGAGCCTGCAAGGCTTGTACCTTCTTGTTTGGCGACATTTTACAAATGAAAAAGTATGCTGTCAAATGCCCAGTCAACAAAACTCTATCCGCTTGCGAGAGAAAAAAGCAGAATGCACGCGAGATTTTCAAGCATGTGAAGACGGTCGTTAAATCTCACATAAAAAAAAAATGGAATCGGTAGAGATGATTGAGCTGAGTATATCGGTATACTTCTTTTTTTAGGGAAACAACAACAACAACAATTATCAAATCATATCTATCTGGGTTGTGGTGCGCGTTGACCGCTAGCGCCGTTATGCGCTTGCGTATTTCTCGGGCGGTACCCGCGCACTCGATCCCCAATTCCTGTGCGATGGATACTAGTTGCTCCTTGGGTATACCATCTAGCCATGCTGTGTTGATTAACTCTGCCATTTTGTTCGTATCAAACATACAATAATTTTTTCTATGAACGCGTACGATCTACCAAGAGTCCCTGCTCGGGCGCCAATTGTAACGAAGCGTTTTGGTTGCCCCGATGCTTCTTCTACAATGCTGGGGTATATTCGCCGAGTTCAGGGTTCGCTACAATAAATTTGTAGTTTCGGGGCTCTGGTAAATCGTACTTATTATCTTAATTACTATGAAAAGAACATATAACAATTGAAAACATTCGGTAGCGTTACTTGCAGTGGCTGGGTAACGGCTCCTTGTTCCGTTATGAGCGTTAGGCTGTAGTGGCTTGGCTTTGGTACTGGTGGCCAGCACTCTGCTGACGCCACTGAGCGGCGCGCCACTAACATCTATAAGGTCGGTGTTATGCAGAAATTTTGTTTGGCAAACTGCGTGCAATTGTTGTTGCAGCAAACTCGGAGAGAGCGAGTTTGGCGACTCTCACAGCAAACTAATTTTGTTTGGTCAAACTGCAGCAAATTCGGTGTTGTCATATACAAAAATTTTAAATTTTGCGCGTTATGTACATCTGAAATTCTCATTTCGTGTTTGCAATAGCCATGAAAACCATAATGAACGTGCAACCCTGTGCCAAACTCGACATAACCACCTCCGAGCAAACTAAGCAGCCGCCATTTAATTTGGCAAACAAAAGTTTGTCTGCATAACACTGACCTAAGTGGTGTTCTGGCCG